CTCTGGTTTTCACATCCCCATTTCACAGAGAGGCCCGTGAATATCTGAACAGAAGGGAAGTCAGAGTCTCCTGCCGAAAAAGGAGGCAGGGTGGTGTGTGTCTGCTGGTGGAAGACAGGGAGGAAAGGAAACAGAATATGATCCATGAGGGACCTTCACGGAGGAGAGGGACAGGTAGAAAGAAGAGAGCTTCCCTGTTTGTCAAAAGGTGTGGCCAGAGATACGTTTACATCCCTTATTGCCCAAGGATGAGGGGAGATCTGTGTTCCCTACAAAATCGCTTTCCTTTCCAAGAAGGCAGTAAAACTGCACAGCAGTTCATTTAAGGAAGTCAGCTGCCTCTGCAGGTGAGCCATGTCTGCGGAAGGATGCGCCCCGGGAGCACAGGCGGAGGTGAGGGCACTGGGGTGAGGGGGTGGTATGCCCTTCAAGGTGGTCACAATCACAATAACGGGGGGAAGTAAACAACATTTTGTCAAGAGCTTTATTTTGCTCCTCTTCTCCCTCCAGCCAGTGAACCAGCGATGAAAAGAGTACAGCTGGTGATACAGGTAAGAGAACAAAGATGAACGATGGTGAGGAAAGCTGGTCTGTCTCTCTGTCTGCTCAGGGAGAGTGGATCTGAGGTTGTCCTGCTAAAAGGCAGCTCAGATGGTGACACATACAGTGGCAGCCAAGAAATATGACTTTTACAGCCAGATGGACCTGGGTTTAAATTCTAGCAACACTACTTGCTAGCTGCCAGCTTTTCAAACATCAGTACATTTCAGTTTTCTCATCTGTAAAATAGGATAATAATGTTAACGATAATAACCTAATGTCTCTTAAGGTAGCTGTGATATTAGGTGAGAGAAGACGTTTCATCACCATGGACATTTGCAGAGTTGATGACTTGGAGCCCTTTCTGCTTCTGTGTCCATCCCACCCATCCTTCTTTCCAACCAGCCATCAAATCCTATTAAGAGTTGCTTGAAGATATCTTCCAAAGCCACCTTTCCCTTCCATCCACACTTGAACTACCTGGCTTGGTTCACACATCACATCCCCTGGACTATTCAGGGACACTGACTGGTCTCCCTCCCATGGAGGAACATTAGCTTCACTTATCACACCAGAGAGCCAAGGAGCCCTGGGGGAAAACTGGGGTTCACTTAGCAGAAGAAAGAGAAATGAGTGCTGAATGAAAACCACAGGTGTCTCCTCTCCATAGATCATGCTTTACATTATGCCCAAAGGCACATGCAGTGGTCTTTCGCTGTCTTTCTTTTTTGAAGTCACTAAAGTAATTCTTTTTAAAAAAATATTTATTCTTTTTTTTTAATTGGGCAATAATTGTTTAACAATACTGTGTTGGTTTCTGCCATACATCAACATGAATCAGCCATAGGTATACATATGTCCCCTCCCTCCCACCTCCTACCCCATCTGACTGTATCTAGGTTGATACAGTAAATTTCTACCGGCTAACTAATTTTACATACAGTAATGTATATATTTACATACTACTCTCTCAATTCATCCTTCCCCTTCCCTCCCTGTGTCCACAAATCAGTTCTCTCTGTCTGCATCTCCATTGCTGCCCGCAGATAGGTTCATCAGTACCATCTTTCTAGATTATATATATATATGTTAATATACGATATTTGTTTTCCTGACTTACTTCACTGTATATAATAGGCTCTAGGTTCATCCACATTATTAAAATTGAGTCAAATGTGTTCCTTTTTATGGCTGAGTAATATTCTATTGTGCTTATGTGCCAAAACTTCTTTATCCATTCATCTGTCAATGGACGTCTAGGTTGCTTTCATGTCCCAGCTACTATAAATAGTGCTTCAGTGAACATTGGGGTACATGTGTCTTTTTCTATTATAATTTCCTTATGGTATATGCCCAGTAGTGGAATTATTGGGTCATATGGTAGTTTTCAACTCTGCTGAAGCTCCAATACTTGACCACCTGATGCAAAGAGCCGATTCATTGGAAAAGACCCTAATGTTGGGAAAGACTGAAGGCAAAAGGAAAAGGAGGATGAGATGTTGGATAGCATCAGTGACGCAATGGACATGAATGTGAGCAAACTCCAGGAGATGGTGAAGGACAGGGAAGCCTGGGGTGCTGCAGTCCATGGGGTCGCAAAATGTTGGTCATAAATTAGCCACTGAACAGCAACAATAACAATGGTAGTTTCAGTCCTAGACTTTTAGGGAGTCCCCATACTGTTCTCCTCAGTGGTTTGATACCATACTCCCACTTAGAGTGCGTACCCCCACCTAGAGTCCATACCCTCTCCAGCATTTGTTGTTTGTAAGTTTTTTGATGGTGGCCATTCTGACTGGTGTGAGGTAATACCTCACAGTTGTTTTGATTTGCATTTCTCTAATAATGTGTCTTTTCATGTTTATTAGCCATCTGTATGTCTTCTTTGGAGAAATGTCTGTTTAGGTCTTCTGCCCACTTTTTGATTGGGTTTCAGCTAACTGTTGATGGACAAGGAAGCACCCCGAAGCTTGAAGTCTGAAATGCAGGGATCTGTAATTTCTCATGGGGCTATGACTTCACCAGGCAGTTCCCCTGCTGGTCTCAGCCAGGGCTGCCTGTGGGACTGCATTCAGCTGGCTCCTTGGGGTCACTTTCCTGCCCTCTTCCTCCACATACTCTCCCATCACTCAGCAGCTACCTTCAGCTGCTTCATCTCAAGGTGCTCTTCCCGCAGCAGGGAGTCACTTGGACCACACTGATGGCACTGGTGCAAGTAAGTCACAAGAAGAGCCCAGACAGAATGAAGGGGAAATCGCCTCCACCTCTTGAAACAGGAGTGGCAAAAAAAAATCTATTTTTAACCCACAAAGAATCTATTTTAATCCACAAAAATGAAGATGAGATTGGAGGTGATCTAGATTTAGCTCAACAGCTGAAAGTCTCTGCCACTTTCCTGGCCAGGATTGCCTGCTCCTCAGTTTCAGCCTTTTTTTTTTTTTTTTTTTTTAGATTTGGGGTGTGGCCGTGACATCTTGAGGGGGCTGGGGTGCTGGGCCTGGTCCAGATGAAGAAACTACAGAAGTGAGGCATTTGGCCCCCAGGCTCTGAGCAGTTGATGGCAGGGGCGGGGACAATAGTCACCATTCATCCCAGTGCTGGGCCCAGGAAGCTGGGACAGGAGTAAGTGCAAAGCCTTTGGGACATGCAGACCCAAGTTCCCATCCTGCCTCTGTCACTTGTATGAGTGAAAGATTCCCTGGTGGTTCAGCTGGTAAAGAATCCGCCGGCAGTGCGGGAGACCTGGGTTCGATCCCTGAGTTGGGAAGATCCCCTGGAGAAGAGAAAGGCTACCCACTCCAGTATTCTGGTCTGGAGAATTCCATGGACTGTATAGTCCATGGGGTTGCAAAGAGTTGGACCTGACTGAGCGACTCTCACTTCACTCCCTGCTCACGGCTGACTCCCCAGCACTCAGCATAACCCCTGACGAGTAGTGAGTGCTCCATGACTGTTGCTGCATCCGTGAACAGATCTCTCTGAGCCTTCTTTTTTTCATCTGAAAAGTTGTGGCAACAACAGTAACAGCTGGTGCAGTCAGGGTGATAACGTCAAGACCCAGCTCTTCCTTACAGGCTGGGCGGCCCCGTGTAGTCTCACACCGTGTACCTCCAGCCTCACTCCACACCAAGTCCCGTGAATCTCTGCACTCCAGTCTCCAGAGCTGTATTCCAATTTCTCAGACTCACCTGGCTCCTTGTCTCAGGACCTTTGCACATGCTGTTCTCTGTGTCAGATGGACTTTTCTCTCTGTCTCCACTGAACTAGCTGTTCCTCCCATTCCGGTTCCATTAGCAGTTCTGAGGTCACCCTCTCCTGGCCCTCTGCATCAGGCTGGATCCTCTCATTGCTTGCTTTCAGAGCCCTGAGTGCCTTTTCTGCCTGGCTCTTCTCAACAGTGGTATTAGTCAGGGTTCTCCAGAGAATAGACCCACCAGAAACAGAATGCACACACGAAACAGGCACACAGACACACATACACACAACACTCACACTCAACTTATCTATATGTACGTAAACTCATCATATCTATATCTATGTACACATACACACAACACTCACACTCAACCTATCTATATGTACGTACACTCATCATATCTATATCTATGTACACATACACACAACACTCACACTCAACCTATCTATATGTATGTACACTCATCATATCTATATCTATGTACATGTACATACAACACTCACACTCAACCTATCTATATGCACATACACTCATCATATCTATATCTATGTACACATACACACCACACTCACACTCAACCTATCTATATGTACATACACTCATCATATCTATATCTATGTACACATGGATACAACATGCTGTGTGCTGTGTTTAGTCGCTCAGTCGTGTCCGACTCTGTGGCCCCATGGACTACAGCCTGCCAGGCTCCTCTGTCCATGAGGATTCTCCAGGCAAGAATACTGGAGTGGGTTGCCACGCCCTCCTCCAGGGGATCTTCCCAACCCAGGGATCAAACCCAGGGATCAAACCCAGGTCTCCCACATTGCAGAAGGATTCTTTACCGTCTCAGCCACTAGGGAAGCCCACACATAACATATCTATATCTATATACAGATATACATACATACAAAACACACACTCAGCATATCTGTATCTATATCTATACACACATACATGTGATACACACACTCAACATGTCTATATGTATATCTATATCTTTATCTATATATACAGAGAGATTGATTTATTATAAGGAATTGACGCCACAATTATGGAGGCAAAGAAGTCCCATGATCTGCTATCTGTAAGCTGGAGACACAGGGAAGCCAGTGGTGTAATTCTAGTCTGAGTCCCAAGGCCTGAGAACCAGGATAATCAATGGTGCAAGTCTCAATCAGAGGGCAAGAGAATATTGATGTCCCCACTCAGGAGTCAGGCAGAACGAGAGCACATTCTCCTTCCTCTGCCTTTGTCTTTTCTTTAGACCTTCAACTGATTGGACGAGGCCCGCCCTCAAGGAGGAGGACAATCTGCCTGACTCAGCCTACTGATTCACATGCTAATACCATCCAGAGGTACCTAGAAAACACACCTAGAAATAATGATTAACCAAATATCTAGTCTCTCTGTGGCCAGGTCAAGTTGACATGTAACATCAACCATCACAGAGACTGAAGCTACAGTTTGCTTATTAGTATTTGGTTAATGTCGGGCTGCCCAGCCTGTCCTGTTTTGCAAGACTAGGGATGGGGCTGGTTGGTTCCATAGTGTAAATCCAGAGCTTAGCTCAGTACCTGGCACACAGTAGGTGTGTGATACATGCTGGGACTGGAGGATCAAGGGGTGGGTAAATATGTGATTGGCTGGTGTGGTGCTCTTGTGCCAGAAAAGCATTTAGCCAGTATTAATTTTATTTAAGTGAATGAATGAATGAGCTAGTGAATGGCTGGAACTAATCTAATGCACTAATTTGTGGGAGAAGACAGAATCAGAAATGCAATTACAAAGCAATGAGCAAATGTCAGAAAAATTTAAGAAAATCACTGCAACACTTCCCCAGCTGTCTTTCTCATTGTTCTTAAAATAAAAGAATGTTTGCTGATGGGGGTTGGGGGTAAATTTAAAAAGCCACATGAATGAAGAGCAGTGACCCCAAGAGCTGGCATGCCAGGAGGAGAGGCCAGAACTGTCAGTGACTTCACAATGGGAGGTCCATGCCACCAGTGCCCAAAGCAGACAGTGCCTCCCCCGAGCCACCCCTGCCCCGTGGAGCCAAAATGCACCGAGGTCATGTCTGCAGACGACCTCGGTTCCCGGCTCCTTCCTGTGCATTCTTAGGGATGCACTTTCAAAACTCAACCCAGATGCTGGAAAAGGACAGCAGGGTGGGTGCTCCCTCACACACTTTCCCCAGCCACACGGTTGGGGACCGGCAGGTGCTCCACAGGGCCTGTGCCCCCACCAGAAGCTGCTCATGGGCAAGGCTGGGACTTGAACCCTCCTCCGCGTGTCAGAGTTGCAAAGAGCCTCAGAAGCCTTCAACCTGCTCCTCTCTTTAAGCAGACGGGAAACTCAGGCCCAGAGAGGAAAACTGGACGGCCAAGATAACAGCAATTTAAGTCAGCCATGTCATGCCGAGTCATAATGGAGCCTGAGTCCAAAGGAGACACCCATAAACCTGATCCTGCTTTTATTGTAAAATTTGGTATTTTGTTCATCATGATTTTTGCATTAACTTTGATGTTGGAAAATATTGCATTAAAACATTTCTTATCTTGATTAAAGTTGTTTTTTCTTTTTTTGACATCCCTTTAAACTCTGCTCCAGAGGCAAGTGCCTCACCCCAGAGAGGGAGTCAGTGTAGAAGTGTAGAGGGGGTCAGAGTAGCATCTTGGACTTGTATTTCGTGTTGGGAAGCCCACCACCCTTTCTCAGTCAGGTACCCACGCTTCTGGAAGGAACTGGCTTTGTGCGCAGGCCCATGTGGACCCCAATCCCACCTCCAGCATCACCCCTAACCCCACTTGAGTGACCATGGGCTGGCCACTGAATTTCTCTGAGCTTCTATTTTCTCCTTCGGAAAATTGGGCAGTCCCTCATTTATCCAATTGTTTTTTTTCTGCAAGCATCTACCATGTGCCTGGCCCTGAGTCAACTCCTAGGCGTGTGCAGAGCCTGCCTGAGGATCCGAGACCTCAGTGCCTGGCCCTGGGCGTGTGCAGGGACTGGCTGACTATCTGAGATCACACAGAAATTGCTTAGGGCAGAGCCTGAAGATAGGGGCTTCAGTCAACATTACCATCTCCTCTTTTTCCTTTTGAGACCAGTCAATAAAGGACTGATGTTGAAGCTGAAACTCCAATAATTTGGCCACCTGATGCGAAGAGCTGACTCATTTGAAAAGCCCCTGATGCTGGGAAAGACTGGGGGCAGGAGGAGAAGGGGACAACAGAGGATGCGATGGTTGGGTGGCATCACCGACCCAATGGACATGAGTTTGGGTAAACTCCAGGAGTTGGTGATGGACAGGGAGGCCTGACATGCTACAGTCCATGGGATCGCAGAGGCGGACATGAGTGAGCAACTGAACTGAATAGCTATTTAATGCATAATATCCCAAAGGCCAACCCGGATGCTCTGAGCCTACTTCCAAGAAGCTCTAGCTCCCAAGATCTGACCTCTGACTATGCCACCCTCCCGCCCCCCACCCCTGCAACACCCCACCCCGCCTCCCAGCTGCATTCCTGGATCCCTGGGCCTGAGATAAGACTGCTGTCTCCTGTTCCTTTCTCTTCTGTCTAGCCTGGTCAAGCTAGCTTATATGATCTTAGTTTTCTGTGTTTATAGTGACGTGGGTGGGGGATGTGAGCAGGGGGATGGCAGACTGGCCCGGAGCTCCTGGGCCTGTGGAAGACACTGGCCACAGGGGGTGTTTAGAGCTCTGCCCCCGCTGGTTGTAATTCTGGAGGCAGCCGAGCTGCTTGGGATCAGGTCCCCCAGCTGTGATGACAGGCCTTCAGCAGGCACTATAATTGCAGTTAAAACCACCCATTTTCCTCCTGGCAAGCTCTAGTTAAAGAGGTGCTAGCGGGCAGCCTGCTTGTCTGCAGTGAGGCTGATCAAAGGGCTGAAGGCATCTGTTTTGTCTCTGTTTTCTTTCACCACCCCCCTGTCCTTTGAAAAAAAAATAGTTAAAAAGTAATTTATGAAAATGAATACCTATCCTCCTCCGGAGGCTAAAAGGCAGCCACATATTAGAGATATTCAATGTGCTTTGGGAGTTTTTTACACTTCGGTCAGTTTTATAATGAGAAAATTGGAGCTAGAGAATGCGCCTGATATGTCCGCTCCCATTAAGACCTCTTGGCATGGTTTTTATAGTATAGGCCTTGACTCTTTACACCCTGAGGATTTCCTGAGGAAGATTAAATTCTCCCACCTCCAGCCTGTGATGGGCGATTGTGTCCTGACTGGTCTGTAACCCCATAGCCTCCCCACTAGCCTCTCCTAGTGTTCCTAGAACCCAGACAAGAGGTTGTACTGGACGAAGTTGTCCAGGTGTCCAGCCTCTGCCTGTTCTCAAGGGCCCACACTTTAGAACTTTCTCTTCATCTGACTGCACACAAAGAGATTTTCCATGTAGAAATACATATACCCTACCCTCGCACATTTTTTTCCCCCTCTTTGGCTTACAGAGAGCATAAGGGCACTTACACATGAGAAGAAAATATCCTGAGCAGAAAGAGGGTGAAAAACTTGCTTGGGACTCTAAGGAAATGGGACACATTTAAGGAAACTGCAAGAGAATAATTCATTGAAAGAACAAAACAAAAACACATGTAATGTCTTGAAAGAGGTCTCATCAGCCACGCTTCACAGGGCATGCAGTTTTGTGGCTTTGGTGAGAAACTTTAGCTCATTTGCACAGTCATTTACATGTAAAAGCCACACTCCGCCGTCCAGGAGCTGGGAACACAGAGAGGTTCTGAACTGCCAGTCACCATGTTTGAAGGGTTCACATGGTAACTTAGACGCTCCCTCTCTATGTTTCTTTCTCATCTCCATGTGCCAAGATTCTGCCAAACCCTCGGGAGATACCTGATAAGGACAAGCTGTGCCCTGTTCGATTTCTGGCCTGCCACAATTAAGGGTTAATTCTTCACCCTCCTTGCTACCATCTTTATTTCTCTCAGAGTCCCTCTGAAAACTCAAAGCAATCTGCACATGTATGTGTACAGGAAATTTATAGTTTTTGGAGTATTTTCATAGCCTTTGTTGCAGTAGAATTCCCACCATGATACCTTGAAATAGGCATCACTGTTCTCATTTTACAGAAGGGGATAGTCAGGGCTCGGAGGGAGGAAGGCGCTTCTCGAGGTCACAGGGCTAGAAAATTACAGGACCTATATCTGAATGCCTCTAAAAGAAGCCTCCCCACCACAGCCAGCTTCAGAAGTTTGCCAGTGAAACAACCCAGGGCTCGACATCTGACAGAGCCTGGCTGGAAACTGAGTCTAATCTTGGACAGGTCACTTTCCTGCCCATGTCAGGGTTTGGAGGGGCCACAGGAATCAGGAATCTGGTAAAGTGAAGGCAACCTGCCCGCTCTTTGATGAGGTTTGGATCAAGGGGCAAAGCTGCCCATTCTTGATCCTCCAGACCCTGCCTGGACCCTGTGATGTTCCCGTCCCTCCCACCAGGTCTGAAGTCAAGCCTTGGAAAGTAGAATGAATTGTTCATGCCTGTGGGCATGGAGATGCCCAGACTCTCATCCCTTCCTGACTTCATGCTTGCTCCCTCCAGGCAGGCCTGGTGGCTTATTAGCATAATTCAGCTGCCCATTTGTACCAGCCATGCGAACATTCTTTCTGGTTCCCAAACACCCCGGGGAAAGTAAGACTGCTATCCCCACTGGTCAGTGATTCCATTACATACGCCAGGACACCGCTCCATGTGGTATGGGCAAGCCGATGGAAGCATTTTCTTCAAATGAGCTTTCATTCTCTTCCAGAATGAACTCCCTGGCGTGTCAGCTTTCTATTCATTAGACTCTGGGCTTCTGCCTAGGAAAGTTGAGCTGGATTGAATGGAGACAACCTCCCACCTCACACGCAACCCTGACTTGGGTGGATTACAGGCCTCCTCCTCTGCCCTTTCTCAGCATGTGGACAACGACCTCCAGGTTGATAAGATGTTCAAGCACAATTCCTAGTCATGGGTCAGTCTTACCTGTAATCAGAGGAAGGAACCTGATCAGCTACTATATGCCAAGTACTGTGCTGAGCATTTTGCAGAGCAGTGATAGGCAATGTATATTTAGTGTGTACTACAGACCAGATCTTGAGGCAGATATTTTCCATGCATTATATCTCATTCAAGGCTGGAAATTACCCTGAGATCTATGCTACTGCTGCCCACAATGCAGAGAAGAACACCTTTCCCAGGATCTCAGTTAATAAGCAATGAGACAGGCATGCACACCTAGCTGTGTGTGGCTCAAAATCTGAACCTTTTTAAATATCAAATAATGTGATCTTCATAACAGCTCATG